TGTTAACTTTGCGTAAGGTCAGTTAAATTTTGAATATTTATTTATAATTATACATTTAAATTGTCACTGAAAAAGATCTGAAAATTGAATAAAAAATTTGACGTAAATATTTAAATAAACTTTTTCAAACACAAACTTCTAGTTTTTTGATCGTATCGGCTTCTTTTTCCTGTATTTATTAACAATTTGTAAATGTGAAAGTTTTGTACAATGAGAAAGCAAAATCGTAAAATAATCAAAAGTAGTACGCACCAAATAAAAAACGACAATCGCACATCTCTCAGCTATAATCAAACTATTATTGATCAAGTTGTTTTAAACTGATAGTAATTAATAAATATACACACGATTTTATATTTANTCACATATGTACCTACATACAATTTCATATTCATATACAGTTATGTGTATAGATGTGCACAATTTTATGTACGATTTTATAAAACTTTTAAATATTTATGCATTTAGATTTATAAGTTAATATGTACGAAGAAAAAGTGTAGAGTTATTTCTTTATCTTTTATAATATAATATCAGAATTAGAGTAAACTTACTCGTAGATGACAAGTTTAAATTCTTGAACAATAAATATCATTATTTTTGTATTTGTAATAGACTTTTTTAATTTTGTGATCACATTTCTGNCTCCGAGTACTGAAAGGTCCCAAGCTAGTTTATACACTACTGAGTATATCGAAATATCCGGATATTCGAATAACTCGAATAGTACTATTCGTACTATTCGCTGCGCAAAGTATCCGGATATTCGAATACTATCCGTTGATCGAAGTTTATTCGTACACATATATTTTATTCGAATATCCGGATATCCGAATCACACTGTTATTCGAATTTAAGCCGTAGCCCTAGAAACGCGCTAAAGACACGCGGCGATAACGGAAATGGTCTTTCTTTTACCGCGTCACGGATTTTCTTTCTTTTTTTTTTTTTCACGCGTGAGAAACACTCGAAATTTCCGCGCAATTCTCGTTAATTTGTGAATGAAGAGACTCAATGTTTGTGAATGATAACTGATTTAATTCAATCACTTTGATCGATATAGAAGTATACACACACATGCACACAAGCTTCGATAAAGAAGTAACGAACAGCCACGCCCGTTTTTATCACCTTTCGCTTTATCCGCTTTTTCCTCGTGACATTGAGCGCAAACCAAGTCAAATTGAAAGACAGGCGCCAAAAACGCGTCATTCTTCTCGCCGCGCAATTACGAATGAGATCTCGAAGTGCTCGCTCGAGAGCCAGAAATGTATCTTGACGTATTTCTAACGACTGCGCAAATGTGCTCTCTCGAGAAAGTGGTCTCAAATGTGTGTGTGTGTGTATGTTACGTACGACGATGAAACACGCGGGCGAAGAGATAAGGACGTAAAAAATGTGTCGCGGCGTTCGCGCGAAAGTACTCATTGATGCCAAAGATCGCTTGTACGACAGTCGATTACAACAGTCTGGTCGTCGAGTCGTCGCAAGGTTATCGGAATAGAAAATGAATTCATGATAATCAATTACATATATCGAGCGATGGACTCGACACATGTCGAAAATACATGCATTATTTTTTTATCGAAATCGTGCGATCATAAGAGAGAGAGAGAAAGAGAGAGAGAGAGAGAGAGAGAGAGAGAGAGAG